GGGGGGGTAGGCCTTGCGGTCTCAGCGCTGATGGTGGCGTAGTGGTGGCATTTGTCAGCTTGCTTCTTCCGCTTGGTTTCCAGATTGACGTCTTGTTTCTTGGCCCTGTTCGGTGGCGGGCTAAAGGTTCCCCGCTGAAAAGGTCAGACACTTACTACAGTTTGCTTAACAGCATGTAACAGTTCCTCCGAGGGGGGAGCAGCACACAACACAACAGGCCACCCCCACAGGATACACTGCCAGGCTAATTACTTTTACACGCGTGTCTGTGAAGAGTTACGGTTTTGTTTTCTTGTGTTGTTTTTAGTGGATGTTTTTGTGAAGATACATTTTTAAATACATATACAATATTTATAAAGTAACCATATTCAAGACATTTTCTTCCCTTTCCCCCCAAAAGTCGATTCCAAGGTGATTCCAAATGTAAACAGTTACACATTTTTAAAAGGGAACTACACCTTTACATTTTTTATGATGTGAAATGATATGTTCCTTAAATGTTACTTATATTTAGTAACACTGAAAATGAATACAATAACAGGAGCTTAACTTATCTGAGCTCAAATGCACATTTATTTAAAAATGAACCTACAGTCATCCACTCACTGTGTGGAGGTGGCTTTTCAAAATGTTTTTAGTGTGTAAGTTGTGGATCTTTTTAGAGCATATTTCCTCTCTGTGTTCATGAACATACATTCATTTAAACTGTTTATAGTATTGCCTTAAACAGGGTTAATATGTCTGTATGTTTTGTGTGTGTTTTGAATGTGTGCAGACCCTGGCTATTAACCGAGGGGAGAGTCTGAAGATTTTGACAGTGAAGGTGAACATTCCCGACAGGGTGAAGAATGATTTCACGAGGTGGTGCATCGACAACAGGTCAGAAACACAAACGGCACAACACTCTGACAAGCATGCACTTACACACATGCACACACAATGAAATGCTGTAGAAATACTGAAGATGAAACTACCTCCAAACAGACATCTATGAAAGCTGCTAACTTATATGTTTTAGATACAATTGAGTACCTCAGCGAAATAGTGAGTGTAATGCTTGATCATTTAGTTTACATTTTCTCGATTTTAGCATTTTTGCACTGGTAACTACACTACTACTCATTGTGACTACATTAAATAAGTGAAACATTTAAGCAGGGCTATGCTGACATACATGTCCTCAGTGAACTTATTTTGTACAGATAGAGGTCGAATAATGAAATAGAAATCACACTTACTATTTAATCAGGCTGTGATATGAATGGTCTGTACATTTAACACTAAAACTTAAATCCTTGCTTGGAAATATAATACAAGCTATTTTATATGTGTTGGTTATAGAATATAATTGGGAGGGATGAAACCCTCTTTAATGGTCACACATGCAGAGCACACAGCACACACAGTGACATTTGGCCTCTGCATTTAACCCATCCTAGTACCAGGAGTCTAGTACTAGGAGCAGTGGGCAGCTATTGTACAGCGCCCGGGGAGCAATGGCAGTGAGGGGGAAAGGGGGGTGCACAGTGCCTTGCTCAAGGGCACCACGGCAGGAGGTGATCTGGGACCTCTACATATTTAGGTCTGGTCGGAGACTTGAACCGGCGACCCTACGGCTCACAGTCCAAGCCCCTACTGACTGAGCCACTGCCGGACTCTTATGGGATCTTACTTATGGGATTTGGAAACATATTTTAACCCTGAGAAGGAGGTAGTTGATTTACAGATTCACAATGACTTTTATATATTGCATTTATTAACTCTTAAAAAAACGTTTGTTCCACTGATTTATTGCAGGTGGAAACCAAAAACGTTTGCTAGAGAAGAGCATTGGGCGATCGTCAGGAGTGCGATTGATGACTCTTACAAAAGGCTTATTCTGCCCTTCCTAACTAGAAATTACAGGTATTTGAAGTGTTACTTTTAATGTGTGTTTATGCTTTTTAGAGTTTATTTTATTTTTGATAACCCCTTATTAATGTACACTGTGTCCCCTGTCTGTCTCCCCAACCCCATCCTTTCTTTGACTTTTTCTATATTTTTCTTCTTTCTCTCTCAAAACAATCTTTATTTTTTCACCTCTTTTGTAAAACATATTTTCTCCGGCTCCTCTGCCAATGTTTACCCCTATCCCCATCCCTCTCTGTGTCTTTCCTGCTTCGCCTCTCTTTAGGACTAAGCTGTCAAGTACAGCAGAGAAGGAGTCGATCGCCATGTTTGTGAGTAACCTCCGGCGCTGCCTGTTGGTGGGTCCAGTCCGCGGCTGTGTCATCTTGGGGGTGGACCCCGGCTTTAGACATGGCTGTAAGCTGGCAGTTCTCTCCCCCACGGGTAAGTGACCACTAAATATATATTACCACCTACTTTTGCCTCCAAAGCAGTTTGATCTCTCTTTCTCATGAGACCATACCGATCTCCCATGACCATCGTCTTTATTACACTGCTTTTATAAAGCTGTGGGCATCACAGGGCATAACATCCTGGGATGGCAGCGGTGAGAGGCTACGTGTCAGATTGGATGATTCATGTTGATCCATTGTGGTCGACAGCAAACACAGGTGTATCCTGTGCCACTGGGTTGATCTGGGGTGAAAGAGTTATATAAAGTGCAGCTCAATGAGATCATGGGCTTGAGATATGTTTCACTAACACAAATTAAGCTCTACTGCTTTCTCCTAATTAGTGTTCTCTTCCATTCATACATGCAATTGGTTGTTGATGCATTCAATCACACACACTGCTATCACCAACAGTATATTTCTGTAATTGTGGTCACATATTCAAGGAATATCTACTCTATCACTCTATGCAAACTAAACTGCCATCGTACATTCATGGCTAACAGTGTGAGTGTGCACGCTAGAGACTAGATGCCAGTTGGCATGACCCTGGTGGGTGGACTTTGTGTTAGCGTGCGTATGTCTACGTCTGTTTTTGTGGTTCTGCTTTAATATACAGTGTGTCTCAGTGGGTGTGGCCTCACACTGCGCTAGGGTAGGTCCCTCCCTCTGGGTGACTGATTATGTGGCTACAAGTCACGCTGACAAATTGCCCCACAGGGACATTAAAGTTTTTGAATCTTGACACTTACAACAAACAGACACAGGTATAGGAACCAAAGGAGTGCTCACATGACTTCTATTCAGAGCTACACTTCTACTCTGAGATGTTCTGTTCATAAAACATTTGATTTGTTAACTTAGGATAATGCTGCTTTGTTTGAAAGCATACAGTGGGGAGGTATTCTCTTATAATATACAAGTTATTACTTTAAGGCAGTGGTTCTCAAACTTTTTCTGTCATTCCCCACTTTGAACAGGTGGGCCTTTTCAAGCCCTAGCTGTTCCTCATTGCTCCAAGGCCAAGGTTAAAATGGTCAAATGTATCGTTCTATAACAGGCAGCGTTTCCGCCAGGGGGGCGTCTTGCCGTAATTTGACAAAAACATTAATAATTCAAGAAAAGATCGAGAGTTTTTATCGCTTGAAATAACGAAAAGGAAAAAGGAGGGGCAAAGGAGTCTGGTGGGATTCTTTTCGGAGTATTGAAGATCGTTCCCCGACATCGGCAGTGCCTGCTACTGTGCTACAGGACAACACGGAACGTGCGCGATTTGGACACGATGAACGGTGCTAGTGGAGCACGCACGTGATCTGCGAGCACCAGAGCCTCGCAGCGGCGAAACTGAGGCTCCGTGGTAAACTGTGGTAACATGAAGAGCCGTTGGGGAGCCGAAACAGCCGGCACTTTAAGAGAGCCGAGCCAAATGATCCGGCTCACTAACGTAAAAAGACAGTAT